CACAGGCACCGCCCAGAATTACTAAAATTATCTATCACTAAGTCTCACTTAAAAAAATCTCACTTTGACATTTTCATTTTTAGTTTAGTTAGGAAGTGATTGCTTCAAATGAAGAAACTTGAAAAAAGAAACTTTATATTTCTATACACTGCTCCTGTTTTTCGTTCTCCACTCTTTCCTATACCATTCCCCATTGTTGACCTCTGTGTGGACATAGATAGGACTTCTAAATTTTATTTCCATTTTATCTGACAAATTTTGTTATATAATTATATCTAAACTTATATTTAATTGAGATAACAGTAAGAAAACATTATATTAATAGTTATCTTTTTTTTTAATAGTAGACTATTTTCCTTAGGTTCCTTACCTTAGCCTTAAGTGCATAGCAATAAGAATAATTTTGTTTATAAAACATTTAAGTTAACTTATTTCAAGAACAGATAATTCCTAGAAGTGTCTGTCTCTTGGCTTAAACTGGAGGCTCTACTTCTTAGCCTCTCAGAATAGCCACCTTGCCCCCTGTAACCCTTTATAAGAAAGAGGTTTTCTCTCTAACAACAAAGAGCAAATAGTTCCTAATCAGGTCCATGCAAACCTGCTTACCATTGCCTATTCTCAATTTGTACACTACAATTTTCAGTAGCTACAGGTGGGTATTTATTTATTTATTTTGAGATAGTGTCTCACTTTGTCACCCTTGGTAGAGTGCCATGGCGTCACAGCTCACCTGTCACAATGCCTAGCTTATTTTTAGAGATGGGGTCTCACTCTTGCTCAGGCTGGTTTCGAACTCCTGATCTCAGGCAATCCACCCACCTTGGCTTCTCAGAGTGCTAGAATTATAGGCGTGAGCCACCATGCCTGTGACTTCAGGTGGGTATTTAAATATAAATTTGCTAAAATTAAATGAGGTTAAGAATTCATTTTCTTGATTTCACTAGCCCCATTTCAATTGATCATCAGCTACATGAAGCTAGTGGCTACTACATATGACCACACAGTTATGGAATGCTTTAATCATCAGAGAAATTTTTATTGAATACCATTGGTATATACCATAGTTTGCTATGTATAATCTGCACTTTTTTGCCCAAATTTTTCAAGGAGAAATAAGGATGTGCATTATATATGGGTTGTACCAATTCCATAAATATAAAAATGTTTTAAAATCTTTTATGCTTAAGTGTTAATAGTGTAACAAATAATACCCTGGAATACAGGGTATTCCAATAGTGCAAAATAATAGTGCAAAATAATACCCTGGAATACAGTAATCAGTTTTGTTGAATTTATTATGAAACAAAAGCAAGTTCTCCCACAGCTACCAACAAGTGCAGCTGACGGCCTTCCTGCCACAGAAATGCTAGGGCCTTGGCTTGCATCTCTGCAGGGATGGCAACTATGATGTGGTGGTACGGTGCTGGCTGGGTTTGCACTCATGTCAGCTCCTCAGTTCTTCTTTGCAAGGCAAGCTTTTTGTGTGTGTTCTTCTAGATCTTTTCTGTCTTTGTACAAACATACATGTGCATATCTCTACTTTTGAAAATGCAAATGGTAGCATTCCCTGCATACTTTTCATAGTTATGTTTTCTACATTAATATATTTATATATAAATCTGCCTTATTTTTATTACATAGTATTTCATTATAAAGATGCATTTTAACTTATGTAATCATCTCCTATTAGTGAATATTTAAGCTGATTATAATATTTGCTATTGCAAACTGGATTGCAGTGAGTGTATTTTTGTAAATGTGGAAGTATAGCAGTAGGAGAAGT